CCGTACCCCGTACCCCGTACCCCGTACCCCGTACCCCGTACCCCGTACCCCGTACCCCGTACCTCGTACCCCGTACCCGACTACCAGGAGGCCCCTTTCCGTGCTGCCACTGCCTCTGGCCCCGGAAACCTCTCGATTCAAGAACAAAATCTTACTCCACAAAATCAACCCAAATTTGCAATCCACGCTAGAATATATTCTTCCGCTGTACAGTACCGGGTGTGCCTTTGAATGCGCTCCACTGCTGCGGGTTTGCTACCCCTGCCACCTAGGGCGCCATGCCCCCCGCGACCCTAGCGAGTATGCTGTTCCGCAACGCTGAAGCGCATTCAAAGATTCCTTAAATACATGGTGAACTAACTATACTAAACAAATCACTGACCCATCAAGTGGTTCAAACGATCGGGTGCTCCGTTGCCACCCCCTGAGCTGTGCGCCGGGCCGCGCGTTTGCACTAATCCTCCGAGTACGCGGAACAGAGTTAGTATCGTGGGCTAGGGGCCGTGGCACCGCCGCTGAGCCCCGCCCCGCCTTGGAGTCCCCGGCCCGGCCCCGAGCACCATACGCCTGATGACCTGATGTACGGCGGCAGATCTGCCTTTATGGCCACCGCGGTCTCAGGCAGGACCCTATCGATTAAAAAACAGCGGAATCATTCGAGTTGGAGTGGTGCTGGCGCCGTCTGGTGCGGGCCCGGCAGCGGGCGGCGGGCGCTGAGCTTGAGCCGCGCTGAGCCGAGCCAGCGGGGAGCGCCTGCGGGCCGGCAGCCAGGCCGCCGCCACGCACGGCTGTTGGGCAGCCGGCCTACCTTGCGGGCGCCCCACTCTGCGACGAGTCGAGTCGGGCTAGGCTAGTGTGATGCGGCACTGAGCGCAAACTACAACGGTTTTATTTATAACAAGCTGAGCGCAAACTCCAACGTTTTTATTGGTGACAAGGTAGGCCCGGCTAGGCCCGCCCTTCCGCCAAACGAAGTTGCCAGCTTTTCTTCGCTCCGCAGGCAACTCCGTTCGGCCGGGGCCGGGCGTGGCTTGGCCTGCCGGCAGCGTTTGGACATGAGAGAACACTGTAACGGTGTGACACCGTGACTACACCCCACTCTTCTGCTGTGAAAAGAAATTTAAAAAAAGACAAGCGCAGTTTTCAGCTTGTATCGCCTGTCAAACAGTCTTAAAAGTTGACTTTTTACCATAGTTTTAAATATATGCACCCCTAGATCCGGTACGGTTAAAGTTACGGCAAATCCGAGGGCACTTCCCAATTTAGAATGTGTTGCTTTTTTTTTTGGGGGGGGGGGG